CAGAATGTGACTTTATTTGGAAACCGGGTCTTTGTGTGAGTGAGGAGTTCAGATAAGGTTATTAGGGTGGGCCTTAACTGACAACATGACTGATGTCTTTATGCAAAGGGGAGACCTTGGCATAGAGATACACACACATCTTCACTGGGAGAATTCCATGTGAAGATGAAGGTGGAGATGGAGGGGGTGTTTCTATAAGCCAAAGAAGGCTGAAGATGGTGGGGAAACCCCCACAGCCAGGGGAGAGGCATGGAACAGACTCTCCTCATAGCCCTCAGAAGGAGCCAACCACACTGGCATCTTGGTGTTAGACTTCTAGCCTCCAGAACTGTGAGACCATACATTTCTACCATTTAAGCTGCTCAATTTGTGGTACCTTGTACCTGGTACAAATTCCTAGCAAATTAATCCAGCCTCCAGAGATCTCTGTGCGTCTCTGTAGTGTGGGACTTGTGAACAAAGAATGTCACCAGCTATATCAGTAAACAGAAGACGTTGCAGCCATCAAGCCATCACCCCTGCAGCCACCCACTATGGTACATCCTGAGGGGATTTGGGATGGAGAAAAACAGGATACCGGCCCTCCATAGTGAAGGTGCATATCAAAGGAATAGTTTCCTTAAGACCAGACTCTTGTATCTTCCCCTACAGAGAAAAGCACTAAATTCATTAACTTGAGATGTCTGCGTTCTCTTGAATTAGCAGTCATCTTTTGATGTTTGACCACCTTTTTGTTTTGTTTTGTTTTTTGTTTTTTGCAAAAACTCCTATAGATGCTGTCCCGTCCCTTACCTTTCCAGGACAGTCTCGCAAAGCTATTTTAGAGGCTGTGTCCCAGGCTTAAGTCCTCAGTAATGCCTCAGATAAAACCTCATTTTCAACCTTTATGTTCTGCATTTTTTTTTTCAGTTGCTAAGATTCCTGCTCTCATGTCCATTTGTTTTAGGCCTAAATGAAAGTTCAGAGGCGATGGGCTAGACATTGATCTTTTTTAAAGGCCTCGGCTTTTGGAACACTGTCATTTCTAGGACAGGCAAACTTCCACCCCTTTTGTGTATCCTGGTGGCAGCCAGGCCCCAGTGCCCAAGGACTCTGGTGATGTCACAAACTTCCTCTCCTTTTTCCATCTTTTCATAATTTCCCACAAGAATTCAAACTCCATGATTTGGCTCCTTGTCCAACCTCCTTCATCAAGGATGAATTTAAGCACTTGGAGTGTGTCAGTGAACAAAACAAAAATTCTACTCTTGTGGGCCTTGCATTTTAGTGGACTGAGACAGACAATAAACAAAAGACACAATAAATTAATGATTTACAGTTGACCCTTGAACAACATGAGCCGTCAGAAATCCGTGTGTAACTTTGCATTGGGCCCTGGTATCCATGGCTCTGCAGAAACAGATCCCACCAATCTGCGATTGTGTAGCACTGTAGTGTATACTTATTTTGAAAAATCCATGTATAAATGGACCCGCACAGTTTGAACCTGTGTTGTTTCCAAGGGTCAACACCTTGACGCTTGAATGGTGATAAAGCCAAGGGGAAAGAGGCAATAGAGATGGATAAGGGAAGCAGGAGTGTGTCTGGGGGAAGAGTGGACTGGTATTTTCCGTTGGATGGATGTCCTCAAACCAGATGCTCTTTGAGCACAGCCAGCACTCAGAAAACTTTTCTTCAGTTATTAGTAATTAAAAGAGTCAGCCTATTACCAGTATTGTTTTCAATGTCAGGATTATGGTTGAAAATGTTTCTGTGTTCTCTGTTTCATAACATTTCCTTGGTGAGGAAAAATGACTCATTACTCTTCTTTAAAAAAAAACCTTCTAATTTTGAAATATTTTTATAGGAAAGTTGTGTAAGAAATAATAAATGATAATTACTATATATACAAATAGCTTAAAAAACAAATTTCTTCTGTATAGCACAGGGAACTATATTCAATATCTTGTAATAACCTTTAATGAAAAAGAATATGAAAATGAATATATGTATATATATATGCATGATTGTGACATTATCCATTACACCAGAAACGGACACATTGTGACTGACTATACGTCAATTAAAATAATAATAATAAACAGAAACGTCAATGAAATAGAGTCAGGTGACCAGAAGGGGGAGCTCTCACAGCCTGTGAGAATAGCCGAACCGAATGGGAGAAGAAAGACTCTTTCCTGGTGAGGGCTCAGCCAATGAAAAGCCATGGACTCTGTAGCCTATAGCCTTCCCAACTTCCTTTTCCCCTCTATAAAAGAGTTCTTCTTCCCTTCCTGTGGAGGGACTTGCACGTGGCTCATTATGGTTGCAAACCCTAAATTGCCATTTTCTTCTGAATCCAAATAAACTTGTCATTGCTAGAGAAATATCTGGTAAATATCTAGATATTTGTTTCAGTTCAACAGTTGCAAAAGTAGTACCCTCCCATCCATTGAATGTTAACATTCTACATGGTATGATTATAGAAACCAGGAAATGAACATTATTAATGAATCTACAGACCTTATTTGAATGTCACCTGTTTTCCTACTAACATCTTTTTTCCGGTTCAGGATCCCATACTGCATGCAGTTTTCACATCTTCTTTGTCTCCTCTGGTCTGTGACAGCTCCTTAGTCTTTCTTTGCTTTTTGTGACCTTGAGACTTCTGAAGAGCACTGCTCAGGTTTTTGTAGAATGCCCCTCAGTTTGGATTTGTCTGATATTTTCTCATAATCAGACTGAAGTTGTGCATTTTTGGCAAGAATATCACAGAAATGATATTGCGCCCTTCTTGGGAAATCTTATCTATGATACATGATATTGCTAGATCTCATTGCTATTGACATTCATTTTGATCACTTGATTATGGTGGTGTCTGCCACGTTTCTCCACTGGGAAGTTACTATTTTGTCTTTTGTAATTAGTAAGTATCTTGGGGGCAGTTACTTTGAGACCAGTTTTCCTAATCTTTCACTCACTAATTTTAGCATGAATCCATGGTTTTTGCTGGCAACAATTTAATAATTGGTGTTTTTTAGTTCCCTCATTCCTTCTACATTAAGAACTTGAATTCTACTCTAGGCCAGGGTTTTTCCTTGAATTTATTTATTCAGTTATTTATATCAGTCTGTATTCATTATTTCCATCTATGGATTAATACCACCATTATTTATTTTCTTGCTCAAATTGTTCCATCTTGGCCATGGAGAGCACCTTCATGTTGACACCTGTGCCCTTTTGGCATGCCTTCATCATTTTTATTTTCTTAGCACTCCTTTCTGGCCCCACAAGGTGTTTCAAACTTATATTTTATCTTTCCAAACCCTGGAATGGAATCAGTCATTTCTCCAAGAAGCCCTGGTTCTTTTCTTTAATCTTTCTATCTTTCTCTCTTTCTTTCTGTTCCTTCCTTCCTTCCTCCCTCCCTCCCTCCCTCTCTCTTTCATTTCTTCCTTCCTTCCTTCCTTCCTTCTTTCTCCTCTTTTTTTCTTCCTTCCTCCCTTCTTCTCTCTCTTTCTTTCCTTTTTTTTTTTTTTAGAAACAAAGATCTGGGAGCTTTAGATGCTCACTGCTAGTGGGATGTCTCTGCTTCTGGCCTTCTCAGCAAAGCTGGGAAATAATACACACACACACACACACACACACACACACACACACACACAATGAGTTTACATCGATGCCTCCAATTCCAAGCCAACACTACAGGGTTCATTCTAACCTTCTGTTTTTCCCTAATCTAGAAACACTTTTCTCTAACTGGAGCTTCGTTACTCACAACATATTTACTTATTTGTTCAATTCTAGGACAAATAAGGTAGTTTCTGAATTGCAAACCCTTGCCTCTGGAAGAAAAAGTTTTATTAAAACTTTAGTGAATATTTTATCCCAGTCTTTCCTGTCTTCCCATTCTCTTGACTGTGTCTTTTGCAATACAGAAGTTTTCAATTTAATGAAGTCCAGTATACTTAAAAAGTCATTACCAAACCCAAGGCCATCTAGATTTTCTCCCATTTTATCTTCTAAAAGTTTTATAATTTTGTGTTTAATCTATGGTCCACTTTGAGTTAATTTTTGTGAAGTATGGAAGTTCTGTGTGTAGATTCTCTCTTTTATTTTCATTTTTTTCTTTTCTTTTCTTCTTCTTCTTTTTTTTTTCACATGTGGAAGTCAAATTGTTCCAGCACCGTTTGTTGAAAAGACTATTCTCTCTCTCATGTTGCACTGCTCCTTTGTCAAAGAGCAATTGATTATATTTGTGCGCATCTACTTCTGAGCTTGTGATTCTATTCCACTGATTTATTCTTCTATTCTTTCGGCAATGCTATATTGTCTTGATTGTTCTAGATTTATAGCAAGTCTTGAAGTCAAGTGGAGGCAGTCCTCCAACTTTGTTCTTCTCCCTCAATATTGTGTTGGCTATTCTGGTGGATTTTTTTTGCCTCTCCACAGAAACTTTAGAATCAGTTTGTCAATATCCTCAAAATAACTTGCTGGGATTTCTATTGGGATTGCATTGAATCTGTAGATCAAGTTAGG